AGCCGAGTGGCTAGGCAATTTTTAAATCAACACTTTGCAAATAAATGGATTGGTCGTGGAGGTCCTGTTGCATGGCCTGCTCGTTCTCCGGATTTGAATCCATTAGATTTTCATTTGTGGGGACATTTAAAATCTATCGTATACACAACATCGATTGAACATGCTGAAATACTACGGAATAGAATAGAGCAAGGCTTCCGACAAATTCGAGAAACACCAGGAATGATAGAGTAACCAGATGAATGGCAAGACGCGTTGCAGGCTTGTCTTCAAATGCAAGGTGGTCATTTCGAGCATCTTTTGTAAAAGTAAAACAGAAAATTCATTATATCTCGTAAATGAAGACAGATAGGACATATATTTATATGACTTTTTTCATTATTTTTAGGCGTACAATCAGCTCCCAAAGTGGGTCCCACAAGTTACGAAACACCCTGTATTGCAGTAGCCAAGTATCATGTTTCTATCATTGTGTTTACTGTACGTACGAAGCACGCGAATTCGCTAAAAAATAAAATGCGATTATCAGATGTATGCGTGATACAATAATAAATTCTCCACACAGTGGTTGAAATCGATAATAATCACCGTGAAACGGCATTGGCACGCTTTTGTTCGTCTCGCCGAGCCGGGACACTCGCGCGAATTTCTGGAACACGATGAAACGCTATTGTGAAACGTGAAATACCGACAGCATCAATGGCTTTCCTTGGCGACAGGGCTTTATGTAATGCTCTCTGAATTTTTCATCCCACGCGCCAACCTAATTAAATTCTGTCTCGGTGCGACGAAATCTTGCAGTACGTCGTCTTCGTCGATCGGTCGATTATCGAGGAAATGCAGGAATTGCTCGCAGTCAGAGGCGTGCAAATATAATAAACGTAGCTTGGCAATCAACAGTTAAAGGCTGATGGCAATTAGCGCGAGGGATGATTACATTATTCGAAATTGGTTTCCTGTGTTGATCGTGTTGGAAGGAATCAAACGGTTAGGTATCAAACGTTGTCATATTATAATTTCTTTTTCTGACACGTGTGGCAAAGACCCGCGAATTTCTTTCGTTCGAATTACTTCGTATTCACGATGAATTTGTTATCACGCATCTATGCGAAAATGGCTGTTGCATTATGCACCGGTTGCGCGGTTGAGAGCGTGGACAAGTCCAGAGGACTCTTCCACGAGTTGCTTCTTCGTTCCATTATCCGGAATATTCCGGAATATATTTTGAGCAAACGGTCGACGAAAGATAGACAAAGACAAACCTTCAAACTTTCATACGGTTCAAGTAAATAATCTTAATTTTGTCTGCCCGTCAAAAAAAAAAAAAAAAAGAATCTCAATTTATTCGAGATTATTCCGATTTATCAGCACGTTCAGAGTTCCGTGAAAATTGACCTCGATCTAACAAGATCAATTATTGTATCTGCGCCTGCAGCATTCGGCGACAAGCTTTATTGGGAAGCAAACTTTCCGGCGTGATTTCCAACGCTAAATGTTGTCGAACGGCGAATATCGCTGTCTTTGTAAATCATTTGTTTAGAAGCGTTTTGTCAGTCCCTAACGAATTTTGGCAGACGGGCGTATTCCTTTGAACGCTTTGGAGTTTATGTGCGAACATTTCACGCGTTTTACACGTTTGATCTTTACGCACGTTGTAAATTATTTATACACGGTTATTATAAATTACAAACAGAAATGTTCCCGCGACATCCTCGAAAATAATTTCTTAAAATAATCGTCACAATCGAATTTGCAATTCTGTTGTTGTTCGTTGACTTATTAGCCGCGACGGAGAAACTAGAATCACCGGCTACAATTGAAACTATTTAATTGTAAGAAAAATTTCCATCGCAGATGTTAAAGTAAAAAGAAGAAAAGTAATAAAAAACTTTATAATACAATGAAGTACACAAGCGTTTATTTGTACATTCTACGAAAAATCATTTAAATCTCTAAAAATATACTGTTCTATGTCTGTAAAATATTCGACAAAAATTACAAATGGGCCGTTTTCACCATTTTGATATTTCTAGCGTTAAACGTGTCAACATATAATGTCTCTTTTTGCAAATGGCATTTCACTTCTGATCCGTTTGCATCTCTATCGTAGGTGTATGTTGTTAATTTTGTGAATTTTATCGAAAGAAAAATGAGGGAGAGAAGAAACGTTATATATC